CAAACAGCCGAAAACCGGACACCTGACCACCCTGTCTTAGCACAGTATCCAGAATTCACTAAAGAAATGTTCAATATAAGTAAATATATTTCTAATCACAGGTCTTTCCTCCATCATGGCACTTACTACATCTCCATTTGGATATTAACTGGCTGGTATTAGAAGTTCTTCATGTACTAGGTGAAAAACTGAAGAGTAAGTATGCAGGCCTTTTTCTTGAACTTATTCTTTTGCATATGACTTACCTAATTTTCCCATCTTGATTTGTCTAGAATAAAAACTACTGTTGCTACTTTTTAAGCATTGCTGTCTGTATTTAATGGGGTAAAGTCAGATATGGTAAAGGTAGGTTCTTTGTGAATCATTGTGCAGCTCAAATTAAATAAAATTGTATTAGGAATTTGCTCTGTCAAAACAAAGATCACAGAGTTCATACTCAACTGATGCAGCATACTAAATATTTAATAACAATGCACTTCCTGACATCACAAATAAAAATGCATTTACAGATATCCAGAATGCATAACAATGAATGGCAATTTGGTGACAACAATGTAGGAAAAGTGTCCAGGCATGGACCAGAAAAAGGATTCTCGGGGGAGAGAATTTGCATTGCTAACCATGTGTGACACTAAGAAAATATTGGGCAGAAGAAGAAGCCTCAATCAGGGGAGCTTATAAAAGTACAGAAAGAAAAGGGCAAGGCAATATCTTAAAAAAAAAAAATTATAAGGCTTTAAAAGGGCAAAAAGTAAGTTGATAAGAGTAAGCTGTTCATAGAAGTTAGATTAAAAAGGTCATAGAATGCAACTGAAAAACTCAATTTCAGAGTAGTTCAGTTTGCTGAAGAATTGTTAAAATACAGAAGAGAACTTTATTTGCTTTGTGAGGCTTATATCTGTTTTCTATGTCCATTCTACCAAAATAAATCACAGAATTGTGTTTTCTTTTACAATTGGTGCGTCACTGCAACCATACCTTCCCTCACACCTTGTGATTATAAGTTGTGAATATAAATTCCATATAGGAATTGCAACAGTTGAAGTAATGTTGAGGTATAGAAAGAAGGCACTATATGCTTACCCCAGTAACCCTGTGTTGAATGTGAACTCTTGGATTAGCTTTTGCCTGCTCCAACTGCTGTCACAACACAGCCTTGCTCCCATTAACACATTTTCTCTGTTTCTACATTACTGTATAGTGTGTAGGTTGGCTTTTTGTTCCATAATTCTAAGTTTCTGTTATGATCCATTGTGGGATAGTGTGTTTGCCTTTTTTAGAGCATTTTGGAGAAAGGATAGTGAAACTGTTGGAGGCAATTTATTTTCCAGAATTCAATATTTATTTCTAGATAATGTTCTGAGTTATAATGCAGTCATCTATCTTTGTAAGAGAAAGCTCGTGATTTTTAACAACAAAACTTACTAGTCAAGACGGTCATATCTCTACTTACATTATCTTGCATTCTTATGTGCTTAGAATTTCCTAGGTTTTTATCTCATTCTGTAAAGTGTTCTCAGTGGAAACTTCACACTGCTGAGACCAGTGGCAGGATAGTGGATTCAGGGCTTCACATTGTATTTACTGGAATAAAACACAGGCACACTCTACTTATTGTCTGCTCCACTGATGCCAAGGGAGATGTACTGTTGAAAAGCTTGTGGGATAAGATCTTAGAGCCTCTTAACTTCACCATTTTATCTGTTAATGCCTACAAATGCTCAAGTTGGAACATGATCACGCCAGCTTTCTACATCAACACATCCAAAGGAAAGTGTTAGACCTCTCCAGAATTGTTTGTCATCAACTTGCAGATCTGCAAAACATGTCATGATTCCAGAACATGCGCACTGCCATGTGACAAAGAGGAACTTGCAGATAAATAAATCTTTATTCCTCTGCAAAATCTGTGCCAGTAAAAGGCTGTAAAGTGCCAAGCTTTTTTACTGTCAACCTGAATAATACCAGATTTCAGTGCAATGATGGAGATTAGCTTGAATTTAGGATGAGCTTTCTCACATGAATTTATAAATTAAAATTACATACAGGTCAACAAGCCCATTCTAAAATATATGTATATCTTAGAAGAGAAATCCTGTCTGTTTTATGTTGCTAGAACCAAACCTAGAACTAAACAATTCTACTTTTCTTTTGTATTTTAGGACAAGTTGTATATGCTAACCATTTCATTAATCTAACTGGAGAGAATCTAACCAATATCAGTTTATTTGAAAAACACTCTGGAAATCTCGTATCTGATTTAATAAGGTTGGCCATCAACAAATACACAAAGGTAACTCTTTTTCCTTATACAGGCCATGGGCAGTTAGATGCTTTTACTGGGAGCCATATGAATTGGGTATTGCAGCAGTGCATGGATGACTTCTTAGTGCTTAGTTGTAAATGTTACGTATGGCTTTGTATTTCCATGTTTTAAAGAGTGTTATTTGTTAGGAGCTCAAATTGTGTTATATTTATTCATGACCATCTGGCAGTTGAATGAGACAGTAATATTGAAATGCACTGTGTACAGAGCAGAAGTGAGTGCCACATTTTCTAAGTTCAGTATTCCAGGTTTAATGCCAAACATGGCACAGTCTAAAAGGTTTAGATAAATGCAAAAAAAAAAAAGTCTTTTCAAACTCTCTGAACAGGAACAAAAAGAGGATAACTCTAATCCTGGCAGTAAGCTAACTGGACACTTAGAGAATGTCATATTACAGTTTATTGTTGCAGTGTGCCTATTCCTACCACCTCATCTTTCTGTTAGAGCACTTCTGCATTTGCCATGGGAAAGCTTTTCTGTGTCTTCTCTTTTCCTTTTTCTTTCCTTCTATAGCTGCAGTATTTTTCTCACTTGTTTTGAGCACTCCAGAGCTAGAAGGTCATAATAGCCCCATATAGCAGCCAGTAGAAGAGCTGTGTAATCTTTGTGTCATTGTGAAACCTGCTTTAGATGGACATGTGTGATCCATGAATTCAGGACTGAACTCTAAGAAAAAATAGCAGTGACCACTGTATAATTTGTTTTCCTAGCACAAAAGCATAAGAAATAGTTCCTCTTCTTCATGTTACTTTTGAGGATGGGGGAAATGGCTGTACTAGCCTTTGATAACTTATAAAATACCTTCCTGTAGAAAACTGTTACTTTTTAAAATCAGTTTTGATCTATTAAATTTAGATAATACTGCAACCTTCTCCCCTAACAAAAGGCAAATAGATGAGAATAATATTTTATAACAGAAAATTCAAATAGTATCTATCTGTTTAACACAGTACTTGATGGTAGGCTTGAAAATTTCAGATGATAAAATGACAGATTCTACATCCTTTCACAGAGCCATGTTACAAAGAGAGAAGATTGTTTTGCCACTGATTTTTCTTAAGCTTTCTCTAGGCTTGGACCACATTGCTTGAATTAGTTCTATTTGAGATTAATTTCTGAAGTGAAGCTTACACTTGAGCTGATGCCTCCTATAATATACAACCTTTCTGTCATCCCATAATGGAAATAGCATTCCTCAAAATTGTTCCAAATGCAACTAATACCCCTAGTAGGTGGTACCATCAGCTCATCACTAAAACATGTCCTTGGGCTTTTGGCTGAGAAACATTCATGAGTGCAGCTCTTAACATTTGTGGATATCCTTGGAAGGAGGGACATGAACTCCAGCATTCCAGACTCAGATTTTCTTGGGCAGCTCTGATTGGTTTCTTGGGCAGCTCTGATATCAAAGTGCTTGACTTGGATCGTGCACTGACTCCAGTGTGCTCTGAGACATGTTTGGCAGAGAAATGTATATCTGTGGATGTCTTGCTTCTGTCTTTAGCAGTAACACCTCTGGCACCAGAGCTGTATTGTCCCAACAGCGCCACAATTTTGGGTATTAAACATTCTTACCAAGACACTGAAATGAGGATGTTGTGAGAGGAAATGGGGAGTATCTCTGAAGAAAGCAGTTATCATGGCTATCCTTAATCTAAGCAATATCTGTACGGTGTCTTGCTTTGATACTAGTACCCAGACTCTGTCCTGAATGGATATGCACATTTTCATATTTCATATTTATAATTCATATTTATAATTGAAATTATTTAAACCTGTATGAAGCTGTAGTTGTAAGCATATTCTAAAGGTGGATAATAAATAAGAAGTTTGCATCCTAATAGAATATTATACAGATTTGAAATTACTGGTGATATACTTGTTGTTCCAACTGTGAAAGTGTAGGTTTTTAGTCATTCACTCCCACTTCTATAATGTCTCACACAGCCACTTCTGTCACTGGCATTGCATATTTTGATTTAATTTTTCATTTGCACTGTTAGGTTTCCAAATTCAGAAATTATTTTAAGTCCCAGTGTGATTTGAGAATAGCTGTGTGTGAATGGATCAGAAAAAACCATGAGGATATAAAAATTCAGGCTCCACCTCATCAGATGTGGATGGCTAGGAGTTAGTTGGCTAAACTAGTCATCTGAGGTACTTTTTATTGTCACGGAAGGATTGCCCTGTGTTTGCTCTAGAGAGGTGTAGGTTGATTATTCAAACTAGGACTACTCATTGTTTAGGGATAAAATGAGTATAAGCTGCTTTGTTTTCCCTCTTTTCTTTCTACATTTCTGCCATCCTGTCCTTGCTTGAAGGTAAAAAGTGCTGAACTGAGCTATTTAAGCAAAGCTTTTCTCCCAATTTTTGCCACTTCTGAATACTGTTCAGTGGGTTCATGTGTCTAAGGACAGAGTAAGTGAAGTTTTATCTATAGTATGATTATTTCAAATACAGGTCTGGTAGATCTTAAAATCATTAAAGCATACAGAGTTTCTTTATGTATTTAGCACTTCTTTTTGCTGTTTTGTTTTGTTTCACAATTGAGAGAATGTAAAATTGAAAGATGAATCACAAGAACACTATTTTGCATTTGAAATGCATCAGTCTGAGTGAATTTTGTTAAATATGGAATAGTAATCAAGTAATGTACATGACTTGAAATATGCTGTTTTCTGCATATTAAAAGAATGCCTTGCAGTAAATTTATCGAAAAGCAGATTTTGTGAAATGTTGTGGGAACATTAACATCCTCATCATGCCAACAACAACATATTCTACTTGCATTATGCCTAGTCATTAAGGATTTTTCAGTTAAAAATAACAATAATAGCTGGTAAATCATTTGAAATCTTTTTCTTCTCAAGAACATCAAGAAAATGTAATCAATCATTTTCTTTTCCCTACTATCAGACAATGAATTAGTATTTATTGTAGCTTCTTTTCATTTAGGACACGGAATGCCATTTTTGTGCGATTAAATAATGTCTGAGGGTGGATCAGAAGAAACTAGGAAATAGCACAACCTATAATTTATGTAGAGTTAAGAAAGAGTCTATATTGTATGAGAGAGATGTTTGGGATGTTAGTGAAATAATGCACTTTTGAATGGGTAATTCTAACTATATTATTTACCTGAAAAAACACCTCTCAAACCAAACAACCAAGACAAGAAGAAATGTTGATACATAAAACACCACTTCAAAAATTAGCACTTCTGTGAATAATTTTATTCTATATTCTCTTTCAGGTGCGACCTTCTGAGGCTCTTGCCAGTAGCCACTATTCCTGTACCTGCATTAAGGAGCTATGGATTCTGCTTATTCAATTGCTGGACCACAGAAATAAAGGGTCTAATACAGAGGTAAAGGAAGAGTACTGTTACATGTGCAGTCACCAGATGTTCCCATATGGCCATGAATGCACAGATCTGAACTCATATTTGCTCCAGGAGAACTGCATGCCAACTGTGCTACCTTGGGTCACTGTCCTGAAAGTGCATGAAATCCTGACTCTAGGTTTGCAGTGTGCTGTTGGGTTATGACCTAGGGCATTGATAAAGAGTGCTCCTAGTGCTAAAGAAATCAAAGCAAAGGAATATACTGTGAAAGTTCTAATACAAACAGTGATGTTTACCTATTTTTAAAAAAAATGATGTGCAGTTTCTGTGATATGTCATGCAGTGAGTCACCTCCAGGCATTAGAAACGTGGGTACTGTCAGAACAGTGATCCAGCTGGCTCATGTTTGTCTTTGTTACCAGGACCCAGCTAAAGTGGTTGAAATGCACATGCAAAGAAGTCCCAGAGAGCTTCCTTAAAAGAAGGAAAGATAGGCACAGGCTGTAAGAAGTAGTAATATTGTGATATAGGCATGGGTCTGAGTCAATGAGAATTAATCAGTTTGTCAGTGCTGGAACAGACTGTGACAAAACAGGGAACTGGAATCTGTTTGCTGTCTTTTGCTGTCTTTCAGATTGATTCTCTACCACCTACTGTATTCCTCTTGGTTAGGATATTCTGGCCCTAGAAGTTTTCCAGAAATATGTTATAACAACTCTTCATTAAGGAACTCTAATCTTTCTATTGTGAGTGTTGGGGCACCATCCTGTCTGCATGTCATCAATCCATCAGCTTGTAGTTTTGCCTGTGAAATATTGCACTGGTGGCCCAAGCTTGTCCTTTCACATTGCTTTCTACTGACATTTGAGAGAGGACTTCTAAGGTAGCCTTGAGTTTTCTGTGGTAATACTCACAACTGCTTTTTTTTATTTTCTTTAAATGACTGTCATCTTTCATTCTCTGTAAAAGCAAATTTATAAATAGGACAGTGTTGTAGAGAAAATTAACATAGGTTTTGTTATTGGAGACAGTTCAAATTACCTGTTGCATTTTCTACAGTGTTTCTGGAGCTTGGTGAACACAACCTTAAGGAATATCTTTGAACGGCCAAGTACTTCTGAAAGTGTGTCTGGGTTTGACACAGTTCAGTGTAAAGACCCACTGAGTTTTAGCTGGTGGATGATGAATCATCTGGCACCACTCTACCAGTTTGACCGTAATGGCAATCTAGATGAAAAGGTGGGTATGCCTTTTTCTGAATACCTAAGAGTTGTTGTAATTGATTTTGATCAATTTTTTATTATTTTTGTTGACAGGAAACAATTCATTTTGTAATGCAGGAATTTACATACTCCTTAAAAGAAGTTGTTTTTTATGTTGGAAGTGTTAAGATGTGTTTTGTACAAGTTGGTAAATGTTCCAGGAGTCCCAGACATATCCGTGTTACATACCAGATATTCAGTAGAGAACTGTGTGAAGTAAACTTGAAATATCCCAACTAGTCAGTAGCACATATACTTAATGATGTAGCATATGTTTTAAGATTGTCTGCCTGTAGCATAAATACTTCACTGGATTTCTTGTTTTAGGAATTGAGCACATGAGTTTGTGGTTTATGAAGTATAAACCTTAAATGCTGACTGTGTAATTATTAATGCCACTTATTTTTCTAAAGTAATAGCTCTGCTCTGGATAAATTCAAATCTAATTGCATTACCTTTGCATCACAAGATGTATATATATTTGTCTATCCAGCTTCATTTTATGTTGGTATGCTACCAATAGACACTGTCTAATGACTTGAATTCAAGTTTTGGTTTAGGAAACTTGCACATGCTGAGGCAATTCATCCATTTTGAGATGTATAAAAGTGGACAATTTTTCTTAATTGTCTATAGAGGAGGCTTGTTAGAAGCCAATGAGGTGGATGAGGACCCAGAAACTGTGGGGTTTGGGGTGTTTTTGGTGTAGTGTGTTTTGCTTGGTTTTTTTTCCCCCAACAGTGTTTTTTGCACTAGGGAGACTCTGGTCATGCTATCCTCTGTCATTTCTCCTTCTGTTCTTTTATGCTGTTACTGTTAATCTATTTTTCTGTTTGTTTGGGTTTTGTTTGGTTTTTTTTTGTTTTTTGTTTTTTTTTGTTTTTTTGGGTTTTTTTTTGGTTTTTTTTGGTGGTTTTTCTTTTATTTTGGGGTGGGGGGTGTTGGAGGTCTCTTTGTTTGATTTTTGTGGTTTTTTGGTATGGTGGCTTTTTTAACCTTCCGGCTGCATTGCCCATATTCCCTAATTTTCCAAGCATAAACTGTGTGGCATCTTCCACAAACTGGGCTTAATTGCCCTTTATTGTGAATTGTCTTTAACTATTTGTAAATTGACAATGCATATTAAAACTGGAAAGGCCATACCTTCTTTGTGTTAAAATTGGTACTGTGATTTCCATTCCTGATTTAGGATGAAAGTTTAAAACCTGGAAATGTGTTTGTGAACTGCAAATCTGTAAGAAGGGAAGAGGGATCATGCTGGTTGAGCAGTTTTGATAACTTAAAATCCCTTTCTTTGTCTTTAAAGGCAATAAGTCTATAAATAGAAAATTAAAGAAAAGTGTTGAAATTTTGAGAATGCTTACAATCCTAAGTAAAATTAGACTTTCAAAAAAAAATTAAGAATTACTTGGATTTTCTAATCTGCAAATTTATTTTAAGAAAACCAAATGTAGCAAAGGTGTGTTAATTCAGTCCTTGAATACTTCAGTGAAAAACTCATGACCATGTCTGTTCACTGGGGATGTGGGATGCTTAAGCTTCTTCTATTTGCCAGTTTCCAGGTCCTTCAGGAGGCCATGGCAGGCTGCTTGTTATCATGTGGCCAAGTGAAGCAACCTCTTGCACATTGATACAGTGTAAAGTTGCACACCAGGTGTGATTGTTACACTGAGGGTTGTCCCAAGCCTCCCTTGGCTTTGCATGTTGCTGCCTGGTGGGGGAGAGGGACACAGTCCAGAGTGGATTATAGATGGATCTTGCAAGATAGAATTACCACAGTGTTGCTTCTTAGCAGAATTTAGGAAGTGAGAAAAGGTTATTCCCAGGTGGAATACAGAAATCTGTGTGAAGTGCACATTTATACTGAGTTTCTTATATTTAATGCCCTAATCCAAATACAGGGATACTGATTACTTTTATCATTGGGGCTTTTTTCCTGTATCTCACTCTGATAGATACTCTGTATTTAGCCTCATGAGAGATTATTTTTTTGCCCCAGGCAATGTATTATTTACATAAGCCAAAAAAGTAGAATGAGAAAAAGGATTCCTGTTGTTCTTATTTTAAAATAGGAATCTGAGACACAGTGACAGGAAGTGACTTGCCCAAGATTAAATAATACTTTTCCTTTAGACCCCACCTGGGAGAAGAGAATTTCCAATCTTGATTTGTAAATCTTGAGATCATCCTGTGCATGCTTCTCTTGATGTTTCCTGTAGTCTTTGTGTTCAAACTGTTAGCTCTGCTTTGCATTTCTGAGTTACTGTGAGTTTGTCCAGGGATCCCTGTTCTCATACAAAAAAAGTGTTATCAGTAACATCAGGGCCTTTTCACCCACCACAGTAATATAATCTGTCATGTACAGTTAATGGTAACCATCCCTTGAGGTCCTGTTCCCCTCCTTGAATTGCAACCTAAAAATATTTTTTGAACATTATAAGGTGAAACAATCTCTGATATGAATTTGTGAAGTCAGCACAATTACATGAGGACTCTGTTGTCCTGTTTTGTTGATTAAATAAATGATGCAATGGCTTTGTGACACATGCTTTCTTTTAATTAACTGATCAGAGGTGGGAGTGTGATGTGTCATAATGATGGTTATTCATGTGCTCTGTAGCAAAAATTGCCTCTAAGCCTATGTCATCTGTGGAAGATTTTCAATTTTTTAATGTGGTCTGCATGGCTGTAAGGTTGTTATGAAAGCTTTTAAAATTCCAAATAGGTTTCAGCCTTGCTTCTTTTTATTTTTTCCCCCTTTAGCTCATAAAAAGTGATTTCAAATATGCAATGATTCATATATATTGAATATTTATTTCACATACATGAAACCACATTTTTAAACTAGAAACTTTTGGACAAGTTTCTTACAGACTGTTCTGAGAGATGTACAGTACGTGTCTCTTTCAATATTCCCCTGTTCAGGTCCCACTTCACTCTTCTGAAAAGTAGAATTTGTATATTTAAAACTCAGATGGGACCTGATGAGAAAATTTGTCACTTCTGAACATTGCAGGGGTCAATTTTAATATCCTGTAGGCTAAGGTAATATAGGCAGAGTTACTTGGGGCTAAGAATTCTTGCCTTTGAATAGAATAATCTGAAATGACTATGTGGCAAGATATGCAAACATGGACTTCCAGCTAAGAAGCCTAATATGGCTTTTCCAGACACTCAGCTGTTAGTCCTTGCAAAAGTTTCTTCCTGCAAACTCAGCTCAAGATTTTGGTTTTAGCAGCACTTCTATGCTCTGTGAATTCTCTGGGTTCTGTTGATTTCTAGGACTCTCTTGGGGTGGAGGGAGGATGTTTTAAGGCACGTGGTTTGGAGTCAAAGATGTAGGTTCTATGTATGTTTTGACAGTGACAGATTGGAAACAATGGTAAACAGGTGCTGTGCCATATTGCCAGTGCAGTAGGGAATAATGTTTGGATATAAATCTATTGAGATTTGAATGAAGCAGGTCTGTTAAAATATAGATACAATTGTAACTAAAAAGAGTGCAGCAGGTGGTTAGTGTCCTTCTTTCCTGAGTTTGGACTGAACTTGGGTGCACTCTTGTAATCAATCCCAGCTGGTGTCAGGAGTTTGCCCTAGATTATTCCAAGATCGTGTAAGGTGATCTGCATACTGGAGACGAGCTGGAACTTTGGCAGTAAACACCTGTTGTATAAAACATGTGTCCTTGGTCTATGGTACTGCTAAAAACATGTTCTAAGCAGGCTGATTCAAACATTCAGTGCTCTCATAGACATTTAACTCTAATCTCTACTTATTGCTGCCAAGACTGGCCTTTTAGCAGTTCCTTAGCTTTCCAGGAACTCTGCAGTAGGGTGTTGCCCGTGTGTAGGTATTCACATAACATCAGGCTCTAAAACACAGTCAAAAATTGAATGTACCTAATGGCCAGATTTGTCTGGAAATGCTGATTGTTCCTAACCCTGGGTTTACCTGTTATTGAAGTGCTGCCTTTACTCCTTGACTGTCTGTTGATGCAATGTCCTCCTGACACGATGCTAGCTCTGGTTTCATGATACAGAGCCTTTGGCATCACTAACAGCTTAAATCCTGCTCACCACCCTAGGCATGACATGCCCTCTGCTGTTCTGGCACAATTTTTGGTCTCCATTTCCTGTGACCTAAGTCAGGCCCTATTCCCTTTTTTATTCTTTGTTCCTCTCTTGAAGCTCTGTGTTGATTCCCTGTTCTGGCTCAGAGTCCCCCAAACAGAAGTACCAGAACAACTGAGCAGTGGCATGCCATAGCTGTGAGGGCAGAAAGAGGAGCTCAGAGTGAGGAAGAAGCAGTGGGAATTTCCTAACTGATACGTGTCACATTCCTGAATCATGAAATCACAGCTTTAATGTAACTTTCTATAGATCTGTCCTTTCATTTATATTTGTTCCATAAATAGTCTATGGCCTATGCCTTGCTATCATGGTCTGTTTTCAGGATTCTCTTTTTCCTGTGGTGTAAATGTAAAGTCACCAAGTAGTCAAATAGTGTTGGATGAGTATTAGTGCATTTTTTAAAAGAATGAATTTTTAAAATTATTTTGGTACTTTCTGGAGTTCTGTGTGAAACTATCACCAAGCCACACCATTAACCAGTTTAATCAGTAGCAGAGGATGATGGAGCACAATGGTGTTGCTGCTGGAAAGTAGTTATATTTCAATTACTAAAGCATAAAATGCTCTTTATTGTAAATTCTAAGCTGTTGTTTAAAGGACAGCTATCTGCAAAATAATGTACAAGGCTAAACAGCTGTGGTACTGGAGGGAGCAAGTAAGGCAGGACAATGATGGGAGTATTATGTTCACACATCTGCTTATCTGCAGAGGCTATATATGTAGCTGTATGTAAGAGATGATGGTTGAATCTCCTAGAAATGTGTGTATATTGGCCTTGTTGCCTTTTTTTTTTCTCCTGAGAAAATGGCCTTAGTTGCAAAGCCTTTTACCCTTTCCTGCTTTGCATAAAGAGATGGAAAAGGAAAAAGCAAGAAACTGTGAGATTATTATACCTTTTCTTCCTTCTTACTCCTTATAGCTTCCCTTTTACAGAACATTAAAGAAAGAAACTGTAAGGCATACTGCTTGGGCTAATAACAAATGCCTGATTCTTTTGCATCTCCATTAAAAGTGAAAGTTGGGATTGCAAATGAGCCACCTAAAGTGGTTCAAGTTGTATGCTTCTTATTTTTATTTGCTTTCTGAGGGCTAATTTTTAGGACAGATATCAATTACATTCCTATAACAGAAAAGCTCTTTTTGGTGATGACTACTGTATTCTGTCATAAAATTAAATATTTCTAGAAATATTTTGTCTGCTAACTTTTGTGTTATTACATAGTGTTTCCTGTAAGGGATACAAATGCTATTTCATGTTGATAATTATTTTTCAGAAACAGAAGGAATCCAATTGGAAATTTGTGGAGGAGCTCCTTAAAAAATCCACTGATGCTCAAGTAAGTGTATAAAGGAAAGAATAATGAACAAGGAAAGTGTCAGGGATGCTTTCAGGAAAAGACAGTGCATGAAACAAAGTCCAACTAACAAGTGTATTTTTGGAGTTGTAGTGTTTTTATCACTGGTAAATGAACAACCTTGACATAGCTAAACTATGACAGTGTACAGTTCCCTCCTTGTTAGCAGTTCCACTTGCTTTAAAGTGCTGTGCTTGATGCTAAATTGTCAGATAAAGAAAAAAGATAATTATCCTGGAAGGGTAGTATATGACTTCTTAGACAAGATGTATTCAGAATAAGAACTGGATGCTTAGAAAATGTAAATCAGATACTGAATGTAAGGATATCAAGTTGAGGAGACATGATGAAGGAGATAGTCAGTTGCATTGAAAATTCAGCTATATCCTCATCACAGCGGGAAGGTGACTTGCCTTGCTGAGCAATTTGTCTTACAGGCTTGAATCAAACTCTTACTGATAAGGTTCTAGTTTCTGAGCACTCATTTCATACCTTATCATTTTTCTTTCTGCAGAACTGTTAATGCAATGCTTCATGGCCCAGAGGTCAGAATTGACCTCCTTTTAATATGCTTTTAAATATGCTGTTCATCAAGTTTTAAAAATAAGTTACATTGTAGCTCTCTAAATTTGTTCTGAAGTTGCATGGCACAAATTGCAAATGTTGTATCGGCAACGCCTGTAAAAATAATTTCTTTATTTATGTATGTTTAAGAAAACAATACACATGTTTATCTTTTCATTTGGTATATGAAATTAAGAAAAATCCTGCAAAGTTCTGTTTTTGAAAGCAAAAGGGGAATCAGTTCTTTCCGTTTTTTAAATTGTATAACTGTCTTGTTCATGGAGTAGCAACAATTGTACTTAAAGCTGGAATGCAGAACAATACTTGTTACAACTTTTTGACAAGAAAATAATTGTGGCTGTTAGGAGAACTGAAATGATAGCATGAATTTTCAGATTTCTAAACATAAACTCTAATGTTTGGCTACGTAGTTGTACTTTATCAGCTTAAAAGATTAAGTCTTTTTGAATGATTTTATGGTATATGACAAAATACAAATTGTGCATATACATTAAAACCCCAAGTGATGACATTACTTATTGGATGTTCTTACCATTCTGTGAGAGAAATTGGAGAGATTTAGATAAGATGCATAAAAACTGAGTAGCTTATTAGCCACCTTCCTGTTTGCATCTTCTGTGTGGCAGCAACGTGAGACACACATTTGTAGTTAATGTTCTTTTCTTCAAAATAATCCCCTTTTCTTGTGAGTGTTTATTGTTTTGAATAAAGATTACTTTGAAACAGAACATACATAAAATATGCAGTTTTTTATGCTTTCAATAAAAAGGAAGTATTGAACTGTAGATAGTTTAGAAAGGCAGTTAAGTGGCCAAGTTCAGAAGACTTGCATATTGGGTCAGTCATGACAGTAATATGAAGCAAATATGTTTTAAGTTCCAACAGCAGCCACTGTTGGAATTAAAACAAACCCTCATTTGCCAAAGACGTGGTTGTAACTATTACCAACCATCTAAGGAGCCATCTAGTTTATTTCCTTTTTTTATTTGTTCGTTATTTTTTCTTGCATTATGGAGTTAGCTGCCCAAGGGAAGTGCTCCTTGGGGAACATTAATTCCTATATGTGCATGCACGAGTGAATGGAGTACTTTATTAAAACACACATCCTGCTCCCTATCCCTGCACAGCAGCCTTCCTGACAGTGTCTAGGAAGGAGAATTCTTTTGCCAGTAGATATGTCCATTTCCTCTGTTGATCTGTCAGCTTCAAGTGGCCACTCCTACCTTTTATCTTATCCTTTTGCATCTCTTAAGTATTTTTGAGTCCAGAAAATGTAGTAATGAGATGCACAATGAGATATCAACAAGTCAGTAGTGAAATGGAGCATTGAAAAGTGGGAAAAAAGCAAAACTGATAATAGTATTCTTTGAATGAACAGCAGGACAGAATTGATGATACTGCCTATTAACACTTGGCATGACTTTGTTATTTAATCCTCTCTGAGCCATCCTTTTCAGCATATAGCCTGTTATCTACTGAAGATGCACAGCTATTGCATAAATTAAAAGAAATAATAGTGCTGAATTATCCGTTTGCTAGAGAGGGCAGGAGTTGGTAGTTAAAAACCTTCATTTTTAGGTATATGGCAACTTAAAAACTAACCACATTTAGTACTATGCTCATCAGCCTCATAATCTTGTGCTTGTTGCTCCCTAATTTCCCTATAGCTTGTAGACTGCATGCTCAGAAGAATGGCAATTTACACTGAATGGGGGGGGAAATGAAGAAGAAATGAAGTATTGTAGTTTTGTGTGTTCAAAAGCATCTAAAAAAGGTTCAGAACATACATTTGTAAGGTAAATTGATAATCTCCTAACAATGACTGTTAAAGTCTCTTCATGTGAACTTCAAATTCTATACTGTGAGAAGATGGTTCAGTAGGTGTTGTTGCAGCCACCCAGGGTACCAGAGCATCATGAAGCAGCAGAAGCTGGAGTTAGCTTTAGCATCCTTAGGACAGCTAAGTATTGGGACACAAAAATGCCTACCCAGTGTTAAATCTGCAGCATTTTGGTAGTTTCAGTAGTTCTGTTGTGTTTAGTGGTCCACATGTGTCCGGATTTCTCGGCTGTTTGAGGGGCCTGGAAAGGCCCGGGGTGGCCTTGGGGCAGCCCGCGTATCGAAGGATGAGAAGAGGCTTCAGTTCTTCTTTCGGTCTTTATGTTTATTAATTGTTTATCTAAAAGATTTTCTTTCAGCCGAACAGAGCTCTGCTCAGCAGCCAGCCATGAGCACACTCTCTGCCCTCCGGGCAGCCACCTATCTTTATACCCATGGTTACGTGTACAGTATTTATCATTTTTCCCCAATACCATTTATTCTTATAATTCAGTGCACTTTCAGTAATAACCAATCCGAAAGTGCCACCATCACCAAAGAAGATGGAGGAGAAGAAGAAGAAGAAGGAGGACAGGACACACCCCAATTCCTCCATCTTACTCCTCTAAACCCCCCTGTACATAAATCCTAAACCCTGTGTCTCACCCTCTAATTAACCAATCCCTTCACCATTCACCCGGTGAAGCCCTCATCCTTGTCGTCTCCTGTGCAGGACCAAAGTGCAGCCACCAGACACTTCTGGCAACATCCCAGGACTCCCGAGCCCCCCAAGGTGGTCTCGGTGGCTCAGTACCTCAGGACTGAGATCTTGAGATCCGACACACATGCAGGCAGCAGAGAGCCTAAGGCATGGTAATCCAGGATATGCTGGATTTTGGGTGTGATGAGCACCTCCAGAAGATGGTCCAAGTGAAGATGGTTGAGGGGTGCCCCGACAATGCCCTGTTCCCAACAGGAGCTGCTTTAAGATTCAGTCAGCCTGCTGCTGGGCAAGGGAAAGATGTGAAGGTGCTGTTCATCCTATGGGATCAGTAGTGATGGGACCCAAAAGCACCCTGGGAGAAGATAGGAGCAGTCATGGATACCTGGGCAAATATAGTGGGCTTCTGCCTTGGGTATATGCTTTCAGCTTCAAACAGTTGACCAACAGCTGAGTTCTTCAGCCACAAATTGCTCTCTTTTAAAGTTCCAGGGAGATAAGAGTTGAACAAAATTGCTCATGTGAAAAAACTCCCACGTCTATCACAAAAAAAGGGCATTTTTAGGGAAACTAGTTGTACGAGGTGTTTCCTACCTTTTCTGTAATTTGGAATTCTCTTCCAAAAGAAGAAAAAAAGCTAGTTTCCAATTCTTTTTGTACTGCAAAATGAAAATTGTTATAGTAGTAATATTATCATAATTGTATTTGTCTACTAGGCAGCATCAAACTGAGTAGATTTATGGGTTGTCAGTATAAGAGGAATTTGTGTTTATGAAGTTTTATTGTGAGAATCAAAAGCTTTTTAGTTTGCAAGAGCTAATAGCAGTCTGTCTTATTAGACTTCTCATTTTAGAAAATAAATGCTTTGTGCTGTTTCATTTCTGCCTCAATTTTGTTATACTTTCACTGTATTTTTTGTTTAATTCTGCCTTAAGAGAGATAGAGAACTATTTCTTGGGTTTCTAGGAAAACCAATTTTGTTACTACAGTAGGAGGTCATAAGAGAAAAATGTTGTGTTTAGATAGTACTATCATTTTGATAGTATCAGGTGTTCCTCCCTTCTGTGATAAATTAAAAGCTGACTACCTCAAGAGTTCTGATAGTATTTCCAGCAGTGCAAGAGACCATTTTAAGCAAAAGAGCAATGAGAGAATCCATTAATCCCAGGGATATTTGAAGTCTCGATACTCTTTTATATTAAATTTGAGATAAAGCCTTCAGTGCTATCATGGTTTTGGAAACTGTTCTAAAACTGTAGTTGGACAGATAAATAATGGTTCAAATTGAAGATGCTCAACTGCTGTGTTTATTGTTGAATTAATTTAACTGGAGGAGTCATTGTTTGTTGAATTAGAACCTAAACATAACCCTAGATTCAAAATACAACTTCAAGACTAAGCATTCCCTTTCTGTGAATTTTTGAATGGTGTGTGTTTTGGTTTTTTTGTTTCATTTTTGTTTGGTTGGTTTTTTTGCAACCCTGTAACTGGGTAGATCCCTATAGAGAAATAGGTCTGTTCAGCTGTAGGATTTTTTGTTTTACATCAAGACTCTTGCTTTTATTCATTAAAAAAAGAGCAGCTGTTCTGTCCCTTGTTTTTCATGCAAGATTGGGTTTTTTTTGGGAAGTCTGTTTAATTAATAGTTACATCATATATTTAAAAAATACTTGAGTATCACCTTTCATTTTTAGGCATATTTATTACACTTGAATTACTATTCTGGATATTTTTAATGAGTCTTTACTGGAAAGTTACTTTCCTATTTCATTGGGTTTTGTATCTTACATGTAATGTCTTGAATATATAATTTTCTGTGACAACTGAAAGTGTCTTTTCAATTTTCAAGTTGTTTAAGGAATGTACCACTTTAGAAGCCATGTGCCCTACATTAATTGTTCATGAGAAGAGAAGGCAGATGTGGTTAGAAGTTCTTGTGGGTGATTGTATACTTGTTTGCAGTGTTGTGATAAAGTGTAGCAAGTCAAGTTTTCCACAAGAATGTATGGCCAGGTAGAGACGAGTTCATGACTTAGACTCATTTGTGTGGCATTGAAAGCAGGGAAAAAAACCACTCAAAGACATAGTAGGTCATAAGAAGTAGCACTGTGAGTAAATCATAGAATCATGTAATGGTTTGGTTTTGAAAGGACCTTAAAGGTCATCTACTTCCCACACCCCTGCCGTGGAGTACAGGTGTTAGACTGATTCACACATGTAAAAATCTACTCTTCAGACAACTGCACACAAGTTGGTTCATTAAACCACTTTTGCAGGCAGTGGAGACAATAAAGCCCTTATGGGAATTATCACCCTAAAGTAGATGCCTAAAATAGGCTGGGTTAAACACATGGTTTTAGTTAGACCTCTTAATATCCTACCTCCCATAAAAGTTCTGTTTTGTTGTTACCAAAAGCTGGATGAGAATAATTCCACTTTCATTATCCCACAATTACTACCTGAATGCTTCACTGTGTTCAAATTGTCCTATGAACCTTTTCAGAAGTCTTTTCCAGCCTAAATGATTCTGTGATTCTATGATTCTGGGATGAACCAGCATTGGCCGGTTTGCAGGGTGCAATTGTCAGCTTTTATCTTCAAGTTTGCTGCTTGTATTAGAAGATGCATTTACTCAACAGTATATAATTAAAAATATATTTTATATTAGGAGATTACTTATAGTCTGTTAGTTCTGGTTTTATGTATCCTACAATTAATTTCTTACCTTCCTGTTTAAGGCTGGTGTGTTGGAGGAACACTTACGAATGCACCTTCAGTGCTGTTTGACTTTGTGTAGTTTCTGGGATTTGAACCTATCTGTTGTTACCATACTCTGGGATTATTACAGCAAGAATCTGGTAAGTAGATGAATATATAAAAATGTAGAATTGCACATAGGCAGTCCTTGATTTTTGCCGATTAATTCTGATTTTCCTGTAGCCAAGCTTGATTGCTATACTTGTGTAAGACTACCTAATCAATGACAGTATCCTTAAATTTGCTCTGTTTGTGTAATGAAATCATGTGTAAATTTGTTGTGGTCCATTACATTACGAAATTATAGAATATGATAATATATTTTAAGTCCTATTTTTCATCAGGACTACAGGTCTTGTAAAAATACTTTGCACACAGTTACAATGCATTTTTATTGTTTTAGCCATGGTAGGAATATATCCTTTTGTTCCTGTGAAGGAGTGCATCTTACTGCCTTTGTAATATTGGCATTTATTGTTATTTATAATATTTTCTGTTTTCATCTATTTTTTTAGAACAGCTGCTTTACTGTTCCTTGGCTTGGTCTGAAGGATCTGGCAAATATTAGTAAGACTTCTTTGTCAATGCTTGAGTTGGTGAAACGCTGCTGCTGTGAACAGCAGGTCCCTTCTCTGTACAACTCCAGCAACAGTTACTTCATTTTCCTCAGCATCTTGGCACGGATTATGAAAGAAGAAAACAATGGTGTGCATCCTTGGAAACAAATTAAAGGACGGTATGGATGCTATTTAGTTTGTCACATTTTGTAACAAGGGTAGTGGGGAGGGCACTCTGCTCATGACAAAATAAAGGGGGTGAGGGATCCAGGGTGACTCATAATTTGAGGAAGCAGTTGTTCCCTCAAGTTTCTGTTGCCAGCTGAGGCTGTAACTGGGTCCAAAAATCACCTTGGCATCCACAGAGTGGGATGATTTACCTCGTCCCACTGGCCAGGAATTTGGTAGACTGGCAACCAGTGCAGTGGTACAACCCAGTTGCCAGACAGATAATGGAATTAAAGCACAGAAATTGTGTTTGAGCACCATTTAAGCCATGTGTTGTTCAAGAACATGCAGACTGACACTTGCTACACCTGCATTTTCATTTAAATATTTTCTTTTCAGTGGTTTTCAAAATTTCTCATAATATTTTTGTGAGGATTTTAATATTTCACTTAATCTTGGAACATACTAATTAAGTACAGTCAGTCATGATATAAAAAAAATAAAATATATAAGCTCTAAATGAAATTCTTGATGTTTTAGATGTGTACTAATCTGTAAGACTTTTCTTATAGTAATGAGATAGCAATTGTAATGATTAGTACAGACTTGTTAAATTTTTTTGCATTAGATAGAGAAAACAGAAATAGTTCTGGTTTAGGCTTTTGCGTTTTTTTTAAAAGATTTTGTTAAGTATTAATATAATTAATTAAAACTTTATTGAACATTAGTAAGATCTTCATGTACACAAGTAATGAACATTAAAAAATGCCCATGTGTATACACACCTTAGAAAGTTGTGGTGTTCTTCTTCCAGAAAAGAAGAGTTATCTTGGCTATCAGAAAAGACCAGTATGCCTAATGTCTATGTACACTTCAGAAGTTTAGTCACTAAAGTTTGGCTTTATGAATCACTGCAACTACACAGAAACAAATATGTTGTTGGATTCTGTTTCAGTGTCTTGCTTTCTTTAAAAATTTTAATTAGCCCACTCTATTCTTACTGATATAAAATTATACTTACAATTTTGTGCTCTTATAGCTTGTTACTTTCCCTAATTTAAGAGGGGGAGTAATAACATACAACACATAGTGCATCAGTCTGCTGAACCAGTTTTCTTCATTTCTACCTTGAAAAAATCAATTACACAAGTAGCAAAATTTAACAGCCTGCAGCTATGATTTTGGGATGAACTCTGTTTTCAGTAGCTAACCAAGCACTAATTGATGCATGAAAAACATAAATGCCTGTCAGTAGTAATTTACTACTAAACAACATTAATTGGATTTGCTGTAAGTTTTGGTGGCTAGATTTGATAACCTCAACACCACTTCCAACTATTTTCTAGGTGACGGAATAGGAAAACAGCATTTATGGATGTTTAACTACTGTAGGTGGAACTTATTTTAAATTAAAGGTGAAGGATATACCTAAAGTTTTAAACACAATAATCAAAAAGTTATGCCATTATCATCTTACTCCTCTGTTGTAGGAATGGTGATTTTTAAATAAAAGTCCACATCCAAGCAAAGGTCCCAGGAAAGATGTCTTTGTGTAAGCTCTTTCCTTTTTGACAGCCACTTTAAAGTTTCAAAGTTGCAATGCTTGTCACCATCAGCTGTTTATGACTTGAGCATTGTCCTGTCAGCAATGCAGAAAAAGTTTCTTAACATCTTCCTACCTGGAGAGACATTTCTCTTGCACATGCCTCAGTTTCTCTGTTTTCTTTCAAACCTGTCCATACCATAGGTGAGCAGTACAAGTTGATACAGACTTTGGCAAAGCACTGTGGAGAAAAGGGATTTTCCAACAGAAATCTTCCTTTTACTGCAGTGCTGGTTTGGTAGGTGAGACTTTGATCACTGCAGCTGCAGCACTATAGCATAATGGCAGAAACCAGTAGCTGATTTCCAGGTGGAAATGAAGAAGTTTCCAGGAAAGAAGCTGGTGTACAGGAATGGTTTGCTGCTGCAAAGAGATGCCACTTGACAGCTCCCTTTCCTAGGAGCCCTCATGGGCTAAACTTGATTGATTTGAAGGGATATAGGGAGGACTTCCATCACAGAGAGAGTAGTAGTATTTTAACATTGTAGAGTAGTAACATTGTGCTCAGCTTGGTACTAGAGGTTGGATAAGGGGGAAGGGCTTGGTTGCACCTCCAATTGGAAACAATGTGTTCTTTAAATCAAAAGCAAAAACTGAGAGCGTGTTTGTTCCAGTAATCATAGGAGTAATGAGAAATAAGAGTATTTAAAATTTAAGGGTTGCTGGAAGGGGTTAACCATAAACTAAAAGCATGAAAGTGCAATTTTAGTCACTCGAGAAGATAGAAAATTGCATACTTTAAGAAACTTTCTCTTTCCTGTTTTTTTTTTTTTTTTTTTGTTTTTCTAATGTAGAATTTATTCCAAGTTCCATCGGAAAAGAATGCAGGAGCTGACAGAGGTGGGGCTGCAGAACTTCTTTAGCCTGTTCCTCGTGCTGGCAGTTCTTGTGGAGACAGAAGATATCGTGAGTCGGGTGCTGGATCTTTTGGATTTCCTGGCTCCATCCTCCATCACCACGGCTCGGAGGGCTCTCATCTGGAGAGGTCACTTTGCTTTCCTTTTAATTTATGTTGAGAAGAACATGGACATCAGTGCCCTGGCCGAGAAAGTCTCAAATGCTTTCCGTGAGAAGGCAAAGGAGTTTTTAGTGACCAAAAATGACCACACACAGAGACAAAATCTCTGGACTCTGCTGTCAACCTACATTGATGGGGTGCAGGAAGTGTTTGAGACCAGCTGCTACTTGAGCCTTTCTGAGGAGAAGTTGCTGAATGATGGCTTTACTATGCTGCTGCCTGCATGTCGAGGAGCTGAGCTGAGCATGGTGCTGAATTTTCTTCAGGTTGTTCTAGCCAGACTTCGGTAAGTTATTTGGTTAAGTTGTGGATTTAGACCAACATTTTGTTTTTAGGGTTATACTGTAGTTCCTATTATTGTTTTTACCAAAATTGTGTAAATGGAAAGAGAAATCTCTGAAGGGCTATGAATGATATGTTAAATTTCAAAACTCACCAATACTTCAGTGCATACAGAATCTTTGAAATGTTTGCTTGTTATTTCAGGAGATTAGGTTTGACATCCTGATGTTTTGTTATGAATTAGTGTCTCTTTAGAAAGTCATCCAGTTGCTTCTATTTCAGAAAATACCATCTTTTCTTTGGTAAAGGAAAATTGGAAATTATTGTCTCTGCTAATTACATTAATTGGAGGGTGTTGTTTTTTTGGTTTTGTTTCTTCATTGAATGTGTTCTGTTTTTCAGACTTTTCATTCTATTTTTTTTCTCTTTTACCAAGGTTGCATTCAAATTCTACAGTTATGGGGATTTAAATACATGTCTGGGGTTCGATAGGAAAGAAGGAAATCATATTTTACCACTTTCAAGCAATTTTGCTTTGATGTACTAGTTCATTTTTTCAACATCCACAGTGCCCTTCAATAAGCATATTTTTTTCTCTACTGATGCCTTTGAGAAGCAGTCCTCCAGTTTGAAGCCCAAACTGTTGTTTTTTTTTATATGATATTAAGAGGTAGCTATTGATCTGCCATTACTTCAAATGTGCAAGACTGAAATATGTGTAAAGAGCTGTGGAAGAGTACATAATAGGAATTCTGAGGCCCATATGCAAGATCTCTCTTTAAGTAGGTTCTTTGTTATTGTCTAGTAGTTTGACTGCAGCTGTCAATAGCTTATAGATCCAAAGACAACTGTTTTTCAGGCAGTCTTTTGAAAAAAGATGAAGCACAAAACTAAGTTTAGTTGATTTATTATTTATTATTTGAGTTCAACTGAATGTATTTCCTGGAATAAATTGGAGACTTCAAAACTACTTTGACATTTTCTCTATTAGCTAATAGACAGCATTTGTTGTGTTGTTTTTAAAGATGAAATAGAGAGAAATTTCAGAGTGGTGAAAAAATTGCCTATTTTTATAACTTGGCATTATTTTTAAGATTTCCAGGACTGGGGCTTATGTGGCCCTCTTGTAACACAGAGAAGAGGGCATGGAAGTTCAATCTAGACTTCTCAGGTCATCACAGACAAGGTACAGGACAGTATTAGTACCTTTTTTTGCAAAAAGTAGTTCTGCTGAAATATTTGAATTACCAACATGCTCAAATAGTAATTGGTATGAGAGAGATTTTTAGAACCTTGCTTTTAACAGTTATTTCAGTTTCTTTATTTATACATTTGGTTACTGCTACCACCCTGTTTATCCTCTCTTCAGAGGAATTAAATTCCTTAACACTTATGATACACTTTGATCTTCAGGTTGTATGGAACAGGAAAATGTTAGTGATTTTCCTGCTTTGACAGACTCACTGAAGTCAATCAGTCAATCCCCTGTTGCCGTGCAAATAAAACAGCACTAAAAACATTTTTTTGGTTCAGAATATATGTATGACTTTGTGCTAACCAGATGCTAAAATGTTACTGAATTGACCAGACTGATTAGGCCTGGTCTATTTTCAAACTCAGAAAAAGATGAGATGCTTGTTTTTAAAATCCAGGCTTGTATAAGATAGTATATCATACATACTTTCATAATATGTATATACTTATACTTTCATAAATATAATTTTTCCATACACTGTACTCTCAATAATTTTATAACTGTATGACAGGGAATTTACAGGTAGGAAGGAAGTGAGATCACTGATTAAAGAGACAAGCAGCTCCCTCTAGGCTGTTAGGAAATAATAACTTCATATGTTACTTTCTGTTAACCCCAGATGATGGCTCACAGGAGCATTCTTTATTGCTGATTAAGTAGCATTATGAAAATACTGACTTGGTTGTGTTAACTAAGTGCCTCAATATTTAAAGCTTTAAATGTCAAATAGTTTTAGCAGTCCCCTTTAACATATCCTGTTGGATTGCTGGAATCTCATTCCAGGTTTCCCAATTGTTTTTATTTGAGGATACTGTAAAAATTCTAGTCTTTCAGAGTGAGGTGTAGCCAAAAGCTCTTCTTTAATTATAGCTATTCATGCTGCTGTGGTTAAGGGTCTGTCAGCATTTCCATTATAAACCTTTATTTTCAAGGGTTTGTAACATAGCAGTGAAAACTTGCTCTGGGCTAAAATTTGGCATACAAGGATTTGAAAGTGCCCTTGTTTTCTTTCATTCTTTTTTCTTAAAAGACATCTGAAAAGAGACCCCCACCTTCACTATTTTTACACCACAGTGTTTTAAAATAACCCTTTCCAGCTTTTTGTTGTGTTTTTCTTGTCTTCTAGAAAAGTACAGGTAGCTTTTGATTGTTGTGTTTACCTATGGTTAGACTATTTTAAGTAAGATTTCTTGAACCAATTTTTTTAATTGATTGTTACCATATTGATTGTTTTGTGATCCATATTTAAATAGAACTATGTCTTGGCAGGAGAATTAATTTTTATCAGTTTTTGATACATGTTGAGTGGGTAATTGGAATCAAATGCTACTTGCTGGCACTTGCAAGTATTTGATCTTCATAGTAAGATTCACTGTGAAGTGTAAGATTTGTGTTTTAATACATTCTCCTTTTAAAAAGCATATAAAATAAACAGTAAATAATCAAGCAACTCCCCTAAACAAAACATGAAGTGCTTCCTTCCTATGTTTACTTATTCTGCTTCTAGCTCAGACATAAGTTTTTTTTCCTTTTTTTTCCCCTGTTTCTAGACAATGGTTTAAAATCTTTATTGTTTTGTTTTGGTTTTATTTTCTTTTTTTTTTTACTGAAAGGTAAATGCAGGATGTTTGCCCATGTGTGCTTTCATTTGTTCCAGATCTCTAGCACTATCTGTCATCTCAGTGCCTCATGGCACAAAAAGAAGCCTTGGGTTAATAAAAATACAGGCATTAAATAGATTTGACAGAGCTTGCTGTAAAAATGGATACAAGGCTCAGAGAAATTGGCTGTAGGTGCTGGCACTGCAATATGTTATACTTAAAAGAAGTGTTTGAAACATGCTAAAATGTCTTGTATTGTAATGGGGTATTGCTTTGACATGAGCTTTCTCTTATTATTGTCATCCTGGCATTTGGGTTTTGTTGGGTGTTAGCACAGAGTTACAGACTATAAAATGTGAGTAGATATCCTGCTGTGCTCCAAACATCTTTGCCTAGTTTCAGGGAGATTCCTGTAGGAGAATTGAGATTCCTGTAGGAGAAATGAGAACTATCACTAACCTAATACCATAATAAGTGGTAATTTTACTTTGAAAACCATTTTTGTGCATTTGTGCCCGTTGATACTTTTTTGCTAATTTTTGAAAATTTCAATTTATAAATTTTATAAGCTCTTACAGCAATATTGCCCTGGTAAACTGTCTCTAGTAGAAAGTTACATTAATAATTGGGCCATGGGTAACAGGAGAACTGAATGTTCCTATCTGAGTGTGTTTAGCCTTGAGGTTGTGAGAGAAACCACAATAGGAATGGATTATCCAGTATATCTTTGCTATGGAAATGTACAGTCATTTGTAATTTTTTTTTGAGTTTTACTTGCCATCAAAACAGCCTGTGGGAAGCTTTTCTGAGACCAACAGAAGCATCTCTCCCCCTCTCTGTTACTGTGTAAGTCAGTAGATAAGCTCAGGAGGAGAATAGAAAGGTCCACCCTCCTTCTTTTCTTCCCCCTCAGGGGTTATAGTGTTAGTCTTTGTAAAATCTTTTTTCTGATGTTTCTTTCTGTATTCAGAAGAGTTTGGAAGATCATGAGTCTTCACTTAGCCATCCCATCCTGTGAGGATATTTAGAGCTGCCAGCTGTGATGTCCTGATAAGCAGAGAAGGCAACTCTGTGACTGAGGCACTGAACTGAGAGTCAGAAGGTGTTTGCTTAGCTCTAAGATCTCCCACTCTTAATGAATTACTACTAAAAGTTGCTGTGAACTTTGTTCACCTGTGTGAAAAAAAGGAAATAAATCCTTCCTTTTCCACTTGGCAGCAAATATCCTATGCCTGGGGAGCAAGCATGCCTTGCTATGCTATCTTGAACCATCTGTTAAAGTATTTCTACTGGTTATTTTTGAAGTTCAGGTATTCCATTAACAAAACTGGTGTTTAAATGAGTGTAATGAAAATCTAGTCTCTAAATGCTCTCATGCATGAGAAGCAAGCACAGATTTAGAAAATAGCAGCATTTTGAGAGATTTCCTATGTCTAAATCCTTAAAAATAATCTGTTACCACCTTCTGAGCAAATAGTGTGTGTTCTTAGCTGCAGTTGTTGCCTTAAGGTGTGACTCTGGTAATTAACACTGAATTTTCTTTTCTTCTTACTTTGAGGGATTTGAGGGTTTTTTCAGGTTTTTATTGGAGACAAAAATAATGTTTTACAAATTTACAAATGTATTCTGACCTTCAAAGCTGACTAGCTAAAACTAATGTGTGTTTTGATTGTTTCTCCTCTACTCTGAGAGTATTACTGTGTAAAGAAATGAAATGGGACAGCAGCAGGCACTGGAAATGTGTCCCTAAATACTTTGCATATAGAAAGTTCCTGTATATGTCTGTCACTGGTTCAGGTTTGTGGGGTAGTGTGTTGTTAAGTTTCTTGTGTTATTCCCCCAATTTATGTATTGTTCTCCCCTATTATGTGTAAAAT